CGGTCTACTCCACAGGCTGATATAATCAGTTAAAATACCAGTGCATGTAGCCATCTGCCCAACTAGCTGAGGGCTGAGGTTACAAGCTAACAAAAATGCCATTTCCCTGAAAGATTTTCAAGCTTGCTTTACTTTAAAATCTCAGAAACTGTCCCATAAGGGACAACTGCTAAATTTAATATTGATGAAAACAGCTATTTACTGTAAAACCATCTCAGTTTTTAAAAATATTTTTTATTTAAAAAAAAAAATATTGAGTTGAGTACAGCTGGTACAGGCAAGTCCTTAGCTTGCTTCCGTGCTAAGCATACTGTCACTCCTTACTTCCACCGTCCTCCTTGGCTTATATAAGATAGTCTTTTTTTTGAGCAAAGTTGAAGGTCTAAGTGTTAAGTGATGCTGCTGCAGCAGTTTGGTTCTTAATTGTGTACGGTTGTAAATAGACAAAACAAGAACTTATGAAAGGAAGGACAGCATGAAGGAGAGAACTCTGCCTTAGAATGACACAACAGATTCAAGCTCATCTCCTGCTCTGTCACAAGTTTTTCTACATGACCTTCAGCAAAACCACTCAAACTCTCTCTCAGTTCTTCATCTATAAAATGAAGGCAGCAGCACTGTATTACCTCACGAGGTTACTGTGAGGTTAAAAATATTATCTCCCTAAAAGTAGTATAGTCCTAATAAGTATAGGAAAACAAATCAGTTTTACAAGATGCTGAACTGAGATGGTTGCTACTACAAAGAGTTCACAAGCTTAGTATCATAGTGCACTGATTCTACAGTTCTGCAATATTCTAACTGTGTACGGAAAGAATGCACAAAGGAGGAATTTAACTTCAGTACCACTGTATGCTGACTAAAAGTCATTTGAGTCAACCCCAAACTCATCAGATGTCTTTCACTCGCCGGATCCAGCAGTGAAAGGAAGAAACAAGGTCATCTGTAACAGAGCTGTAGAAATTCACTGCCACCACCTAGCAGCAGGAGTGGCATGAGTGAAACTAAGCCACCATGTCTTTTTTCATTCTCCACCCAGGAGGACAGACCTACATGCTGTCCTACAGATGAAGCTGAATATTATGGTAAAAAACAAAATTAAAAAAAAAAAAAAACCAAACAAAACCAAAAACATCAAGCCACTTCACAGTGATTATAATACTTAAACTCACAAATAATTTAAAGTCAGCACTCAATTATATGTCTGTCTTGTTTAGCTGGGACACAGGAAAGATGCTGACAGAGTAAAAAGGGATAAGAGGAAGCAGAGCAGTGGGTATATCTCAAGGCTCATGTTGCTGGATGTAGAAAGTTCTTGGCACAAGGACTTTCAAACAGAAATGAAGGACATATATTCCCTTAGTGTCCTAAATGCCCAACTGGTGAGATGCATTAGACTTCACATAACAGCATTCAATCAACAGATGAAGTTTTGAGAAAGAAAAGTGTTTCCTTTAGCCTGGAAACAAAACAAACTGCTGAGTTTTGCTACAGATTCATCCTTCCCTGAAGCATCCACATTTTGGTGTAGCTTAGGCACGTAGGGCAGCCTTGGACATCCTCCTTGACAGCTCACCAAATACAGGCAACAGCAGCTAAATTATTGCATCTGCTAAGACAGGTTCTCTCATGCAGAGGTTCTCATTATATGGAAAAACTGAACTGCTGCGAGATAGCAGAGAAAATGAAATTTTTGAGCACTGTACAGTTGCATCTCTAATATCTTGAAAATCTAGGTATCATTTGGATACCTCACAACAGATCCTGCATTTACATTCATTACTCCAGATGATATTTACTTTTTTCACACACTGCAAATGCACATTTATGACACTAACATCTTTTTTTTTTTTATTTGAACTTCTGTAATTGTCAGTCTTCTAAGAGATTTTTAGGACAATTTTTTTTTTAAAAAAAAAGGTTAAGGCATGTGTACACAAAGGCCTTTTTGTAAAGTGTATCAAATTTAAGAATTTGCTGGGATTTAACATTTACCCATTTGGTTTATTATACTAAACTTTTTTTTCAAAGCTCAGAACTGACAATTAATTCCTATACTTCAAATTTTTCAGAAGTGAAGTTCAAAGCGTGCAGTTAACCATCCCTGTTGCAGTAGTAAAGATATACTTTTAACAGAAAACCGCAAAGAAAGAGATGCGATACTACCTTAACAGCAGCTACAATGGTCTGGTTGATACCAAATGATTCTTGTGAAATCACTTCAATTGTTGATGATCCTATCAAAGACCCAGAGTTAAGGAAACCTCTCTCATCGATTTTTACAACAGGAACTTTATCTGGTCCATCCAGGACACGGTAACTCAGTGAAGCCACTCGGTCCCTTAAGAAAACAAACAAACAAACCAGAAAAACAAAGAAAACAAGGGACTCCCTTAAATGAGTAAACCCATATTTACAGCAATATGTTATGCAAATCTAACAGATTGCTGTTTGGTCTGTATTTTTTCCACGTGTCTGCAATAAGAGCTGAAAAGCCTGTGGTCTAGTCTAAGAAAGAAAAGTTTAAGTTCTGATTCAAGCTCCCTTGGAAGAAGTCTTATCTGGGTTTAGGCATGTATTGAAATCTAGTTTCCATCCACTGCCCTGCAGTGTCATCATTCACTGATGCAAACTTGATTCCAAATAATAATGGCTAAGGCTACAACGTGCAGCTTCTGCTGTCATTTTCTGTAAACAATATTTAGAGGGAGATTAGTCTGTCAGGGCCAATGCCAGTATTAGAGATAAAGTCAGGGACATGATTAGGTGAATCTCATCCGTTTTTTGGAAATGGTTTTGTAGACAAGGTTAATTTTTAGAATAACTCTCGCCATGGTATTTGCATATTAATAAGTGAGCAAATAATAAGCTGTAATTAGTGGGAATTCTGAGACATTAGCTACTTTTAAGTATCATTTATCACATCTTCTAGAAGATCTGTAAACGATTTTTCTTTTTTTCTCTCAAGGTCCTCCACTGAGATAGAAACACTCTCATTTATCCTAGGATAAAAGCATTAAAGCTGGATTTTAGTTGCCCTTTTCTTGGCAATAGTGTAATTGGTTTTGGAGGCAGAGTTCAGACATAGGGACTCCAACATTGGATAGTGAAGATAATGGGACAAAAATGTACAAACTGATATCTAGCAACTGAATGACTAATTAATCAGAAAAACTGCTCAGAAGAGACAGCAAAACAACATTAGCAAGCGACTACAAATAACAGGGCTCCTATATATCTGTTTCAAAAGTAGATGCTGAATGACCATGGTCACTGGAGCTCCAGTGAAACTAACTGTCCCCTCCCCTTAAAAAGTAAATGCATCTAAAGCCTTGCCCTCAGTGTATGTCCTATTGTCTGTATCTGCACATTCTTATGCTAGGAAAACCAAATTTCAAGCCTGAAATGAGTCTGAAATGTCAGTCTTTGAAAACAGACTGTGTAAAAAGGACTACTCATTTGGAAAGGACATTTTAATCTCAAAATCTAGTCAGTCTTTGTGTAAGGAAATACAGAGAAGTATATTCTATTCCATAAAAGAACTGCTAGTGGAAGCAGGCTACTGCTTTAACTGGCTTAGTATCTTTTAAAATAAGGATCTAAAAGTTCCTAATATTGAATGAATTTTCTAGCCACAATCTAATACAAGATTTGACAGAGCCCAAGAATACGGATAATATACTATTAATCACCAGATTGAAACAGTTTACTTCAAACAGAATTGCTTTACGGTTTTGATGAACCATTGACACAAATCACAGTATGAAAACTGATCACTAACCTGTTTGTCTGAAGTTTAATAAAGGAATTTGGTGACATTAATATCTGCTCCGCTTCCACTTCTGGAGTGACTAGATGAAGCTTTTCAAACACCTGAAAAATAAAAGACATTTTAGCCTACTGCTGTGTGCAGCAAGTAACTTATTTCCAGTTATTTCACCTTGAAATCAAAAAACCCCAAATAAAACTATAACACCTTTTTTTTTTTTACCTTGTATAATATATATGGTAAAAAAAAGAAAATTAAACATGAATATTTGAGAATGGCAGTATCTTCTACAAATTTTTCTAAAGAGCATTCATTTCTATGTCTATAGCTAAACTATGAAGCAGTATGCAAAAAGAAGCAGATCTGTCAAATTAAATGGTGTTGGTGACCCCACATTCACCCAAGTTATGTAGACTACCCCAAGTCTGAGCCCACATAAGGTGCACTCCTCAAGCACATTTTCCAGCTTTGTTCCATCTAAAGGAATCCCATTCACATACTTCGAAACTGCTCTCCAAAGCATGGTAAGTGGGAACAACCAGGTGATTCATTTCAGAAGCTAATTCCTGATCAAAATGAACATGCTTGCATAAATATGTATGATAAGCACTAAACCCAATAAGTATTATTGTACAGAGGGGAACTACAGCAGCAAAGTTCTTTTACAGCTCTAACAATGCTTATCCATAAGACTGGACAAGTCACCTCAATTTCAGGTGGTCTACAACAAAAAACTAACTCCTGAATTTCATTCAGGCATCACATCAGTGTGTGACTGTTCAGTGTAAACCCTACTAACACTTGGGGAAATTGGATGTTTCCAAACAGCAGAACATTATACAAACAAGAGTAAGGGCTCAAAGATAAACCAAAGCTGGAACTACTCCTTTGCATTTCAAATTCCTGACTTCAAATACAGACTTTAATTCAGCTCTGAAATAGATATTAAAACATTAACTATATGGAACATCATCATACCTGAATTTGGATTTCATCGGATAGTTCTCTTGCCATGTTGTAAAACTGGTTGGCTGCAGGATCAAGGACCTTCACAACAACTTTCAGGCCTGTTCTTCCCTTTACTCTGCCATAAACATCCATTGCAAAGTTATATTTTGCAGGAAGCTGAAAAGAAGCCTTGGACAGGATAAAGTGATTAAAATTTTACTCATGGAAAGAGTTGACATTGATACAGAGGAAAGACAACACCCAACCCTAACAATGACTCTTTGATTTTGGGTAAGTGGAAGGAACAATATTTTCTCAATTCCCATTATGTGGCAGTTTCCTTTTCCCAAGATACACACACATGCAAATATCATACACACACACACAAAATTTACCTCACTGTGTCTTGTCTTGAGATCCAGAATATCCCTCTTTGTGACAGACCAGTGGAACTTTAACCCCGGTACTGCATTGCCAAATGAAAAAGGAGTCTGGCTGCTGGTGATGCCCATTACATAAACTGGCATCTAGAAATAGAGAAACCAACTTTCTTAAGTAATTCCAGGATGCTCACCAAATCTGCACAGATTAAACATAATTAAACTTAAAATTCATTGATCAAGAGATGGTATTTCTTATGAAGAAATTGGTTTGGTTGCTGTATGTGCTGCAAGGATGTATCACATGGAAGACTCAAATAACCACCAACATGTAAAAAGTAAATTTTGATTTATTCTGATTTGCTACATGCTCTACAAAAAACAAGTACCAGTTTTCCATGAGAAAAGATGAGTTCAATAATTCATCTGTCCCATTCATAGCATCAAATCACTTCATCTTAGTTAAATCATACACTCTTACATTTTCCACATCTTTGACTAGATGATCTCCCTGATTGACTCCACTCTGGACATCAACCTTTCCCTTCCAACTCTCCAAATTAAGACAATGTAACATATAAACACAAAACAGGGATTTGCAACTTTTTATTTTTAGTCTTCAAAGAAATTCATTCACCTGGGACCAACGAGCTGGAATCACTAGCCATTTTGGAATGAGTAACTAATAGAGGAAATACAGACTCTTAAAAATAGACTTACTAAAAAATAATGTGAACAATATCTCTTGTTCTGGATATAGCAGACATAGTGTAGGTTTTTAACATACACAGGAAGAAAGTCTCCACTGCAAACAGAATGAAGATGAGAGAACCCTTCTCCATATTAAATGATGCTTCTTCAGCAGGGCCCGAACTTCTGAAAAATCAGTCTGGTGTACAAGGTAACCTTGTCCTGATTTCTGTTTTAATATGTTCAGCTGTGGAGCTTTGCCACTGAAAGCACATTCATTCCTGCAGCAGCAGTGGTACCCGTAAGAGCAGGCAAACACTTTAAGAGCTGGAGTGGTATTATCAGAATGGTCACAGCTTGCAGGTCAAAATTTTCAGGCAATAAAAGCTAATCACAAATCAACTGACCTGTGTACCAGTTTTCACTCGTGTAATAGGTGCACGAATTCTAACAGCTGTCAGCTGTATTACTTCAACTTCTACTTTGTCCTAAAAAGAAGGGAAAACTTTGTAAGCAGTTGTCGAATGTGAACTAGATTTCACTTTCAGGATCTATTCACTATTTAGCCATTATTTAATCACTATTGCCATGTGATTTGCATGTGACTTATCACAGAAAATACAGATGGACATAATTTAGTAGGACTGTAAAAAACTTCAAAAGCATTAACTTTGTAAATTGATAGGCATTTACAAATGCCACCTAAAGTAAAAAAAAAAAGCTCTGCTCAAAATTGTTGACAACATGAATGATGGAGCTGAGAGATGACAGACTACAAGGGACTAGATCATAAGGGTCCCTAGGAGAAGAGGGATGAATGATCCCAGAAGGTAAAGGAAGACATTGAGAGAATGAGAACGACATGAGAATGGTAAGCAGCAAATGGGAAAATCAAGAATAAAAGCATGATACATGTGATACTCTGATGTCTCCTCTTCACATAGCCTGACATTCCTAATAGACTTTATTCCTACTGTATACTGGGGAGGAAAGGTCAGACCTGGACATCACTGGGCAGTAGCTTTAGCTTTCAAGTTCATTCTGCTTCCTCCCACAGCATCAGGGCAGACTGCTGCCCCTGCATTACAAAGTACAGATATATATAGATATATATAGATATATA